AAAGTATTACGAATAATATAAACATTTTATAGGTTGTTTTATTATGCTGAGTGAGTATCGGTGTACAATTCGAGCACAGTTCTTTTACTGATTTTAAAGTATTTAATTTCTTACTTGCTTTAATTCTAGTAGTATATGGGAAGCTTCGGCCGGTCAAAACAAACCCCCTCCACTCCACCTCCAGACAGGTGGGCGTGGCCTAGACGGGCTTGTCTGGAGAAATGGTGCGCTCTGATTGGCCGGTGACGTGAGAGTGGGATAACGAGGTAATTAAATGTCGCGTTTTGATTGGCTCGGTCCATAGCTGCCCACATGCTGATTGGTTAGGTCCATAGCTGCCCGCGCGACGATTGGAGAGGACGGGGGTGTCGGCAGAGAGGAATACCACGGTAAAATGGTGGATGGTAAAAACCGAGGAAAAATGGGACCGAGAACTTTGTTCGTCACGGGGGGGGGTGGGGGGAGGTACGGTCAGCGAACATGAATAGCACACAGCTTTTGTCCTGCAGGCCATTTTTTTGCTGCAGTGGTTCGATGTCTCCAACGTGTTGGTGTCTTAGTGAAAGGGTTTTTCTCTTATTATTTATGACGAAGACTTTTACGAGAATTTTCGGGAGACTCTTGCTTTCAATATAGGGAGAAAGGGGAGGTAAAACGGGAATGAACAAGTTTGTGCCGGTATGCGTCGTCTTCTTATCTGCTGTGTTGATTTACTTACTTTAGAGAATAAGTTCTTTCTGTATTCTACGACGGAGATGCTTTTTAATAGGACAAAAATCTACCTTATTTAAACCTGAAATGTCGGGAGCACGAGGATACGTAATTGAAATAGTCAAGAATTTAAGATACAAAGAATTTATTCATTGATAATGTGGTTATTACATTAATGAATGACTTATTACATAAACATATGATATATAAAATCATAATCCACGATTGGTTAAAACTACGTTAACAGTTTCATTGAATTTTAGTTCGGTTAATTCTAAAAACAATATATTAAAGTATGTTTCTAGAAATGTCAAATTGTTTATTTGTGTTCTCACAGTGCGTTCAATGGCTTCTTTGTTGCCTCGGAAAACGAGTCTGATGATTTCAGCGTCGATGAAGGGATTAGTCAGAAGTTCTATCTCCTTGATCAAATATCGTGCGCACTCGTTAATGTTGTCGATAATAGATGTTAGCTGGTTTACATGCGCATCGACACATTTGATTACTCTCTCCATTCCTTGAAATGTAGCTTGCTGCATTACAATCGCGACGGAGTAAGATTTTCTTTTCTTCGTCGATTGTGCTGACTCTGCCTGTGCATTTGCGGATGAAACTTTCTTTGGAACATTTTCATTTTCCTTATGCGTCACCAGAAAGCTTTCGCACCGTAAGCAGAGGTGAAGCTAACGAAAATGTTTGCGAATGAGATAGGATTTACTTTGGTTTTGCTGCTTTCGCTTAGGTACGTGCTCATGAGTCCCATATTCTCTTGAAATTGTTTCCACGTGTTCGAATCGAAGTTGATTCCTTCTGCGTAATTGCCAGTCGATTTGACGATAGGTTCGAAGATTCCCTCTTTCGTTGATTGTAATCCCACGTGTAATTTCTTCGTATGAAAAGAGTTGAGTGGTACGTCGTAGAAAGTAACAAATATTGTTGCATATTTCGTTCGGTAATATTGTTTATCACACGCGGATTAACGGATACTGAGGGATTTCCGATTTCTTGTCTTCCAGCTATGTCTCTTCGCGTGAAAACTTTGGACGAATGTCCACTCGAATGAAGAAAAACTAGGAGGGACGATTCCGAAGTAGATGCTTCGAACAACGAGACTCGAATGAAGCAGCGTACTTCCGTGCGAGGCGATTTGTATTTATATACTTTTCGAAAATTAACAAAAAAATTGCTTACGTAATAATATTTTAAATAATAAATTCTAGAAAAATAAGTTCTAGAAGAATCTTTCTCACCATGCTATGACGCAGTTCTCCTTTTTTTCGAGAAAAAAAATAGAAGATTGAATAACGAAAGTATTTCATGCACTATCATGTCACGAACATGTTCAAACTTGTAATATTTAGGCGTTAAACGAAAAAATTATAAAGAATTACAGTGTCGAACAACATACGTTATAAATCTTTGATGCAAAAAAATTTTTATGAAAAGAAGAAAGAATTTATTGAATCGTTTATCAGAATAACAAATAAAGAAATATATTTCACAAGTAATAAAATGCACAAAAAAAGAAAAATATTAGAATGAGCAATTTTCAGAAAGTTGAAAATTATAAATATTTCATTTAGTGACACGTCATATCCGACGAGATTTATGGACAAGAAAAATCCTACTAGGAAAAAAGTATTGTATTTGAAAAATAAAACTATTCAAAGAAATATTCCAACTTAAGATGTGTAAAAAATTATGGAATATTTCGTACGGTCGGTTAACATAGGCTGCGTTCCGTTTCGCGCATTATGCACACGGATTACATAGGAAACATTCCGTTTCACTCAATGCGCGCACAAGCAACGCTTAGAATTCCCTATATCCCCACTTCTTGCAGCGCATAATGCACGCATCAGCTACCACAAGTTCGAGCTATAGCAGCTTATGCGTTCTATGCGATTGCATATGGCGATTGTTGTGAAGTTGAATTGTAGTTTTACAAGAAAGTATCAGTGTAAAAATGGAAGAGTCATTGCTCGAATTTCCAGTCTTCCTTGAGGATACGCAAAGCGTAATCACATTATTTCTTACTGAGGAAGTCATTAATAAAGTTCAAACAGGTAACATTTAGCCGAATATATTTGTAGGTTATATATGATTTGAACAAAAAACATAAAATGTGGACATTTCTTACGGAGAAAGCCTTTATTTGGCGAAAATACTTTCAATTTAGTGTATTTTTGCTATTTTCAAAAGACGTTTCCTCATAAAGAATTATATTTAATATTTATTTTTTACTATTGGATATAAAATATATAAATTATATTAGATCTGTTCTTTTTAGCTGAATGTTTGTACTAGTTCACCTTTTTTCCTTTTCTGTCTTGAAGAAAGAAAGAAAAATGAACCGATGCAAAATTCAAGCTAAAAAGAACAGGCCTATTATGAATACCACTATTACAGATCAAAAGTTGCTGCAATCGCTTGTGAACAAAGAAATTAATAAACAGAATAATTGTACTAGTTTCGCTAGTTCTTCAGAAACCAGCCAGTCAGTGTCGTCGGAGAAATTTGATTCCGAAGAAAATAATTGTTCAACTAAAGGATTTATATGGCCCGATGCAGCGGTGTATTTACTGTTAGAGTTATACCGGGAGAAAGAATCTGACTTCAGTTCAGGGTCCAAAAGAAATACTACCGTTTGGACTGAACTAGCAGAAAAAATGAAAGAAAATTCCAATGGGAAATATGTTGTAACTGGGCTACAATGCTCTGTAAAGATGTCTGGTCTTAAAAGAACATTTAAAAATATAAGCGACCAAAATAAGAAAAGCGGAAATTGCCGAAATACATGGGCCTTTTATTCAGTAAAAATCTGTTTTTTGTCTATAAATAATTCATTAAAAAATAAAATAAATATAATACTGTTAATTTTATATGTAATCTCTTTAAATTTGGTGAATAGTTTTTTACGAAATTGACTTATATAATCTGAATAAATGTTTTTATAATTATATTGTACCTTTGAAGGTGATGGATTCTATTTTTGGGAAAAAAGCTTTTGTAATGCCACCTGCGATTGCATCGAGCGAAGGTCCACTTAAACCAATAAATCAAGTAGAATCAGCAGTGGCAGAATCACCCTCATTGCTATCTAGTAATAATAATAAATCAATAAGGTTGATTTTTTATAATTCATACATAATTGTTAATTTAATTTCTATTTTAGATCCATGCAAAAAACGGAGAGTTGAAGCTATTCTGGAGACTTTCATTGATGATATAAAACAAAATAGAGAAACAGCGATGGCCAAGAAGGAAGAAGAGAAGAAAAAACGTGAGAAGTTAAAAGAAAAGCAGTATACTGAGCGTAAAGAAGAACGAAGGAAGCTTCATGAAGAAAAACTGGCGGTCCAAAAATCGTTAATTGAAATTATGAAAACTTTAGTTGAAAAGCAAAAATAATTTTAATGCTTCTATATTTATTTATCCATATAACTTAAAAATATTATTGACATTATTTCCACTACGGCGTTGCTTCAGTTGTGTGCCTTATATTCTATTTTTTATTTGATAATTAGCTAGTTTGTAACAAGTCTGTGATCTATCGACAAGTACAAATGATATTAATGCAATTAATTAGTAAAAATTTGTGATAGTATGTTTAGTTATACACTCTTACAGAAAAAGTATTTTAGAATCATCCTACATGTATGTATATAAGTGTTATTTAATACTTTGAATATTAGTATTGAAATAATGTTCAATTAAATTTTCTTTTTACTTTCTTACTACGAGTAAGTAAAGTTTTATGTTCTAATTACTAAGTTAAAATTTGGCATTTATAATTTTATACTTACGTTGTATAATAATAATTTCAATATGCGAATTATAATTTAATACCAAAGGTGCATGTATGGATTCATAATAAAATAATAAATGAACAAAAACAACGTTTAATTTATTTGTTACTTAATACATTTTTTATTATTTACATGTATATATTGTTTACATACACTAATAATGGCTTGAATATGTTTGATATGACTTATACATTTAGATTTAATGAAGAAGTAAGAGCAAGACCAATCGTATTAAAGAATTTTACAACAGTGCAAAGCTGCTTTCTCTGCTGAACGCAGCCATTAATAATATTACATTTTCCTTGATAAAGCATTCATAATTATAATTCTTTTAGCATTTCCTAATTCAACTGCGTTATCATGTAAAATGGGTCTTGCTTCTTCTTCATTTCTATATATACCTAATAATTCTATTATATCATTTTGCAAAATACAAATATTGTGCAATACGCAACAGGCCACAATAAATTCTGGAATTTTTTAAATATCTATTAAAGGTAAACAGTCTAAGAGAATCCTAAAACGAACTTTCAGATGACCTATTGCCCGTTCAATTTGCATTCGTGTAGATGACAAACAATAGTTAAAATTTTTTTGTGCATTTGTCAGATGACCATTATCTCTAAAAGGTACCATAACATGTGGATGGATACCATACGCAGCATCTCCAATAATATGAGAATCATCAGGAAAATAGGTTTCAGGTAATTGAAGAAAATCTGCCACTGGTGAATTTCGAAAAACTCTTGCATCGTGCACAGATCCTACATGCCCGGCATAACAATGGGTAAATAATCCACGCGACTCACAAACAACTTGTACATTCATTGAATGAAAACCTTTCCTATTTATATATGAGTCTGGATCTTCTTTTGGAGCACGAATCTTAATGTGAGTGCCATCAATAGCACCTATCACATTTGGAAAACCACAAACTTGTTCAAATTCCCTCATTACTTTTGTAGCAACTGCACCTTTGGGCCACTGAATAAACTGAGGAGCAATACAATGTAGAGCATACGTTACTCGTCTTAATGCTCTGAATGCAGTTGCTTTTCCAATTCCGAATTTCGTTGATACAGACCTAAAAACAATAATATAAATACAATAAGTTATGTTATTAAGTATGAAATAATTTTTCAATATTTTCTCTTCTAATGTTTAAACATTAATGATCTTAACTTTTAATTACTAATTTGTTTTCTTTTTTATGTTTTAATATTTTAATGTGTATGTGATACCTATAAGAGTCAGGAGTAGACATAAACCAAGTTGCTACAAGGAGTTGCTTTTCGGCAGAGACTGGTTTTCTTCCAGGTAATGTATTTATAGCTCTTAATCCTGGCCCAATTAATTGTAATACCACTTCAAATGTTTCCGGATACATTCTGCAAGATATAAAGCTGCTGTAATTTCTTGACACTGCTTTGAATGGATAAATAAAAATTGAATATGTAAAATAAGAATATATACAGATTATGTCTAGGTATTTTAAAACGATCAATCGAGTTGAACAAAAAATATGTACTAGTATGGAAATATTCACACTCACCGAAAATGTTCTTTGAATATGCGCCTCGTGTATCCAGGAATAACTCTCTCAACAAAATCTGTTATTTTTTCTTGTACAACTGTTTCTCCACGTGTTTCACCCACCATTAAAATAGAATATAAAATTTCTAATTCCTGGTTGGTGCTTAAACTGTCCTCATATTCTTCGTCACTATAATTATCATCAGAACTGCTACTGGATGATTCACTACTATCATGAATTAAAAATATTGTCACAATATTGACAGCGCAATTTATTGTGGTGGAATCCATTTTGATTTCACGTTCCATGCGTTTAACATCGTTCCGTTTCAAAGCGTGCATCATGTACACTATGAAACGAAACGTAGCCAATGCGCTAAGCATTGGTTATGCAAACGATGCGTGCTACGCGCGAAACGGAACGCAGCCAAAAAAAAAACAAAAAAAAGGTTGTATATTAGACGAAATATTCATATAAAGGATTAAAAGGAAAGATGCAAAAAATCAAATTTTTTGGTATTTTCACTACCGATTTTTGCACAAGATTTTCTTCGGACGACCGATATAAAGATATAAATTTATTTACAATAACAGCCGTAAGCTCATAAACCATTTTTCCCGTAAACCTATACACCATTCTTACCAATGAGACCGATAAATTGTCAACTTTCTCGGAACTTATATAAGGTGTAATGGCAGCTTTGCAAAAAAGTGAAATGGCGAAAGAAATCATTCGTAGGAGTATCAAGTTAGCTTCGATGCTTGATACACGTATAAACGCGGATAAATTTTTATCAGGATTATCCGATATTCCTGAGAAAAATTATATAATTTTCACCGGTTTCACCTGCGAATGCTCGGATTCGCTATTAGGAGTGTTGTATCAATTAGGATACTTTAATAGTGAGAAGCGAATTCTACGTATAGTCGCTGAAACCGTGGAAATGCGGCGGATGTTTGGGCATGAGGAAGAGGATGTGGAAGGATACATCGCGAATCTCCTTTCGCATAATTTTCAAGGTAAATATCTCATATTTTTTTTTGCTTTAATATTTTGTTAAAAAGTGAATACGATTAATATGTTATATAATCAGCACGAATTAACTAATCATTTTTAAAAATAAATTCTAGGAAAAAATATTCGAACTGCGGTGATAAATCCTCTCCCTCGATCACGGAAGCGTCGCGCGGAGGAAGAGCCAGAGGCAGGTCCATCGCGTAAGTAAATTAGAAAATTGTAATATCAGAAACTGAATTTTTCGTAATTTCCTAGCATTAAAAGTAGTATTAATTATTTGTAGGAAGGGCACGTATAGTTTTGACGCCTGAATTGGAAGAAGAGAGGAGGGAAATCCCGCTCATCCAGCTCTCGTCGGGTGAGTTAATATTTTTAGGATAGAAATAATTTCTAAAGTGAATAATATAAATCAATTGATAAAATCTTAATATAATACTTTCAGATATGGAAGAAGAAAACGTAAATTCTCCTGCAGAGCATCGTGTATTTTCGCCAGGTGAGTTCTTCTCTTACATGAAAGATAAAAATTTTAATTGAAGCAAAAAATTCAAGAAAAAATTGTTTTTTTCCAGAATTCGATATATATTCTCCTACTCTTCGTGAAGAAGAAGAAGAAGAAAGAGAAAATCAAATGGAAGAGCAGGAGGATTAGGAGGAGGGGGAGGAGGAGAAGGAGGAGGAGGAGGAAGAGGAGGAAGAGGAAGAAACTCAGAGATTGGAAGAAGAGATGGGAAGAGGAGAAGAAGAAGAACACGAGGGAGAAAAAGAAAATCAAGAGGATGCAGGTATATAATTCTTCTCTTTTTGTTAATTTTTTTAGTTTGATGCTCGTATTTAATTCAAGATTAACGAATTTCTTTATTAGATATTTCTCGCTCTCCTATCCTGCGTAAGAGGAAGGTTGTCTTTACGGCACCCTGTTCGAGTATTCCGATAAGGTTAGTAATTTTATCGGAAAACATTATTGTTGAGGATTGACGCGTTAATTCGTGCGGTCGTCCGGATCGCTCGG